GTATGAAAATATCTTCTTTTCTGCCTCTCAAAATTATTGTAGAATATTGAATTTAGTTATAATTTTTACGCAATCAAAGACTAGACGAAATTTTCAAATGTAAGTTAGATTAATAATAAGGGACTAAAGTTTAAAAATATATCAAATAAATAAGATTTTTCACACATACTAGAACTATGTTGGCTTATAAAATTAATGCTTCAAATCTAAGTACAGATTTGAGCCAAAATTCCGTAAAAAGTGTTATTTCTCTCTTAGTAAACCATCAAAACTTTTAGTTTTTATATCATTTTGTATCTTTATGTGACAACTTTACTATATATGAAAATTGGAAAAAGTTAAATATAGGAAGCATATAAAAATAACTAATAAATCCTAAAAAATTAAGATTCGCATTAGCAAATATCCATTTTATTTAAATTATCCATGTCAATTTGGTAATATCATCTTATAGGCCCTATATGGTAGTATCTTTTTATGCAAAAAGAAAAACATTCAATCTTTTGAATTACAAGTAGGGCTCGCATGATTGGAAACAGTAATTTTTTATTCTTAATGTCCAGGAAAAAAGAAATGACCTTGACCTGACCTTGCCTCTAATATTAAACGGTCAAATTTAATCTCACTGATACCATCACTTAGTGATATTGTCCTCTTGATTCTGTGAAGATTTCATTAATTCTTAAATACAAGAAATGTGAGAAGAATCCTACCTTAAGTGAATTGGAGTTATCGTGTAGGGTTGTGATTTCAAATTTCTAAATAAGTAATTATTCTCCTTGATCATGACATAACTATATCGGGAGTCGAAAAGTAAAAGGTGATGAACGCCATTGTAAAATAGCGTGAAAGATTGATTTTTTTTTCTGACTTAATTAACTTTCTAATTTTAAATATACACGTTATCAAAATTCTTTCAAGATAGTGCGTGCGTGGGTATCTTTAAGCATTCACAATATATTTGTGTTTTATCACTACCGATGAGTAAATTTAGGATGAGATAAATGATATGTATGAATATTAATAAAATCATCCGAGTAACCGGGTACTCGATCGAAAGATTCAGCGAGTAAGCGGTTACTAAATATCGTCCGATTTGCCAAAACTAATTTTGATATGAACATTTGACAGCCAAAAATCACGTTAATTCAGGTATGTGTTGGGAAACTATTGTTCCATAAAATATGGAATTTTCACCTCATTCTGGAAGTTCTGTGAAATCTTATCGTTAACTTTACATGGAGTATCCAAACAAATATTGCTTGAAAATGACGTCAAAAGCGGCGTTGATCGGGTGTTTTAGCTATATTGAACTCCAAAAAAATATATATATATGCTGGCACAATCAAGCTAGGATCTCTTCCAATGTATAAATCCATTTGCAATAATATATCCATTGAAAGCCGCTGTATATATCATTGGAAAGTCAAAATAAGTGTACAGGGTAAAAGAAGCGGACAATGAAAAATGACGACGTTTTCGGACGTCATGAAACTTTAACGGCGACGGGTGATCATATAGTGTCCTTTTTATTTTATAATAATTTGGGAAATAATGAACGTATCAAGCCAATTTTTTCAACATTTCTTTATTTTTTGTTGTTTTATGTTCCTTGTAAATTCTGTAAGCTCAGACAATATAGCCCCAGTCCATGAACTTTTTGATAACCCCTCGTATGTATTTTAAAATTACTCGAAAATTGGCAGTGGTTGCAATTTCTATTAAAGGCGAGTTATTGATTTGATTGAATTATTTAATATGGTTGTTTTCTCATAAGACATAATTCTTTAGTGTTCAGATTGAAGGTGGGTAATACAGCAAAGATGGTAAAGGGGAGATAACATGAATATATTTTTGAAAAGACACTTGAAATATGTTTTTCTCTTTAAATATCAAATTGCTGTGAACCATTTTTCTCTGTTGTTCGCAGAACAGAAATTTAACTGATTAACGAATATAATAAGACATAGACAAACTGATCTATGATAACTTTATTGAAGTGAAGGATATGTAGATAATGAACAGTATTCAATATCAAAGTCCATAAAACAATACAAAATAGAAGCAGAGTAAACACGGGCCGCCAAAACATCAGAGGTAGAATTAGGTGCCATGGAGGTGTTAGCATCCCCTGCCGACTGGTCACACCCGCCGTGTGCTCATTGTTATAATCGGGAAATAACGAAAAAATCCGTCGTCAATTCAGTGGATAAATAATGGACTAACAATAGGTATGAAAAACATACAGCATTTGACTCAATGATAAACTGTATTTGCTGACAAGGTCATTGTATCGACAATAGAACTTACAAAATGATAAATTGAAACGAGACTGCTGATATTCTTGTTTCATCAACTTATTTGTCAATAACTTTTCTCGTTTAAGAAATTCTTCATACGTAGTGCATGCTCTTGAGTATCAAATCAACTAAGATACATATGCAGGTGATGAAGGTATATTGCTGTATAAGTATGGAAAGCTGACGATAGAAAAATTAAAGTCATCACGTTTATCATAGACCTTGGTTGTTAGATTACCATTAACGTCTTTTTTCAAGTAAAATATCCAATTATGAAACAGATGTTTCAGACTCTGTGGTGTCTTTTATTTCAAGCTCACCAGAATATGTCTTATCGACATAGGAAAGAAAATTACCATTGTTAATTGACAATACGTCATCGGTATATCTAAATGTTCGAGTTGAAGGCCACGGCAAGTGTTTTCTTCTTTTAACGCACAAAGATTTTGCACAAATTCTGCTTCATATGAATACAAAAATAGGTCTGCTAATAATGGAGCGCAATTGGTACCCATGGGAATTCCAATAGATTGTTGGAAGACTTGGTCTCCAAAAACCACATAGATATTGTCAATCAGAAACTCAAGCATCTTTTTATGTCAACTTCAGATGTTGTCAATCAGAAACTAAAGCATCTTTTTATGTCAACTTTAGAGTGTACAATCGGAATCTGTTTTAACAAAATAATTTTGCAGATGACCCATGACTAAGTAAGTAAATTTACGAGTTACATTTTCATTGAAAAAAAAAACAGCTGTCAATGATATCAAAAAGCATTGACTTTAATTGATCGTGGGGAATGGTTGTGTTTAAAGTTGAAAAGTTGTAAGTTTTTTTAAACTGTTGGTTTTGGTAAGGTCTTGCTATTTCAAATTTTCCCAAAGGTCTTTGGAACTTTTTAGTATCTACATCTGATTCATACCAAAGGTAATGAAAAGTACATTTATGTTTCCTGAAAACATTATGAATCGTGTACATTAAAACCAGGAGGACCATAGGGAACACTGGGATTAAGATCAGATACTTAGGATACATTCCCTGTGGACTCGAGCTCGTCACACGAACCGTGAGCTCTCTATTTACCTTCTTCGGTAGTATGGTCTCAATATTTCCCACCTTATTCACTAATCAAGAGCTTGCTCTGAGTTCAGTCAATCATTAAAGCGATATACGTAGATATTATAGGTATTTCATCAGCATAGTTTAAAGTCAGCGTTTTTTAAACTTAAATTTTGTGGTCGTTAATGACCCAGTTAGCGACTATAGCCTATCGTTAGGTTGCGTTTTGGCTGATTTGTTTAATACTAATTGTTAAGCTTTGTTTTCAAACTGAATTTACTACGGAAAGTTCTGTCTATCTGATCAATAAAAAACGCTAACGGCGGACGTGACTGGGGATGTTTACAACTCCCAGGCACCTGATCCGACCTCTGGCATTTCCAGGGATCCGTACTGTACATATTTGGATTGTTTATGAATTGTTTGGGATATATTTACCCTTTACAGTTATATAGCTAGACAGCATTAAAACACATGACCAAAGAGTGTGTTCATTTTTGCTGTTGTAAGGTAATACTACTGCTTTATTTAATTTACATTAAATCTACAGCTTTCAAAGAAATCATAATCGCTATTTCTCTTTTTCGTCAAAATGATAACAAAAAATCATTTAATAAAATAATGGAGTGCATGCAGAAATTAATTTAATATGACCATAACTTTAAACATTTCAAACACTAGATGTTGTCCGCTAAAATCAAGGATAAGGCTTTTTCTAGAAAAGTTTTTAGCGCAGTTAGCTGAAATTTTCAATAAATGTCTATTTATCATTTTGAAGTTCATCTTAATTTTTTTTTTTATAAAATACAGACAAAAATAAATATTTTTTGAATGATTGAATGTGCACAGGATACTGCACTTCGGCGCACAATAAAAACAGGGTTTCATAAGAAAATACACGAGTATTATTTCGAAATAAAAGTATTAAATACATGTAGATATGATTGGGGCAAAAATTATTCGATTTTAATTCACTAGCACTATCAGTGTCGTCTTTTTGAAAATTTCAAGGTATTTGCTTAATTTTTGGCAGTTTCTCGAGCATTCGAAATGGGAAAGTCGCAAGAAAGAAATGACGACGTTTGATGGCGGTACGATGTACCGCAGAAAGAGAGAGAGAGAGAGCAGTTTTACTTAGATGTAGTAAAATCGCTCTAAAATAACTTTAAATGAATATAAAAAAAATACAAAAACATCATCAGATCTTTGTTATACAAGTGCAATGGGAGTTTTCTTGGCGAAATTCCTTTTAATTTGGTCCAAGAGTAGAATAAAACATACGGACAAACTGTTTTGGTAATGGCAAAAGGTCAAGAAGCTGTCAGTGTAGATTGGCGATTTAAGATAGCATATTTAGTTGAATGATATTGAGAAACCTGTCCGTAACTTGATAATAAATCTTCAAAATGCCCCATGTATGTTCTTCGGCTGTTTATGAGGGAATATATACGGAAACACAAGTCTCTGCATTAATGGTATACTTTAATTAAGTTTGACTTACCGAACCTTTTTAGCAAAGAGGAAACGTGACGCTGATTTAGGCACTTTGATGTTATCTTACGTGCGCCAAGTGAGTCGAAGCAATGTTACAATGTCATAATTTGTTTATTTATGTACATATTTATCTGAAATTTGCTTTGCATATTGATGAAATATTGATTAAAAATGTTCTAACAAGTAGTGAAATTTTGTAATGTAGGGATGATTAATTTTCACTCTATACAATTTGTACACGATTTTTTACGGACAAGCCTTGCACATGAGTATTTAGTACAAGTATATTCAGATGCATGCGAAGAGTTTATACAGAGTCGCAAAATAAAAGAAACTCAAAAAGCTAATATCTGTTGAGAACAACATTGAAGATTGTATGTACATAAATTATTTGCATGTTACACCAGCATCCTCGTTGTGACCACAGTTTTCTTTCCCATAACCATTGTGCGTACAGTCGAAAATGGATGACTCAGTCCCCTGACAGTTGACGTCATCTAACCAAGTAATTCCAGACCCTTCTCCAAAATACGCTCCTGAGCGATCAATATAGTGTCTATAAAAATAATATGGTTAAAATATGTCATCCGATATGACATCGAACTATGTCCACCAGAAAAACAGGCATTATTGTATTAAAAGGCGGCACATTTATTGTGACCAAAATTTTATTAAAAACAATATAACATATCATATATAATCCAAATAGAAGAATATACGTGTATTTGAATATTTATTTAAAGATAGCTTATTTATTAAGATATCGTTTGTTATGTGTTCTTGAATTCCTTTGATTAGCCAGTCATCAAAATACAAGCACACTTTAATGTCTTTTCTGAGGTAACTTCCCATTACTGTCATCAGTTTGGTAAAACTTTTGGGCTATTGCCGACCAGACTGGCATTGCCTTGAATTGGTAATTATACTGACTTTGCCAAAAAAAAAAAAACTCAAAAATCTGCGGTGTGCTGGACACACAGCTACATGAAGATAGGCATCCTTTTGATCTAGAGACACTGCCAATCTTCGGGATCTATGGTCCGCACTATACTTCTCATTGTCTCCACCTTGACATGAGGTATTTCTAGGTAAGTATTTCGAACTCTAAGGTTCAGAATTGGCCGAAATCCTCCGTCCTTCTTGGGAACTAGAAAGAAAGTGCTGTAAAATCCCTGGTCTGACGGGACTAGTTCTACAGAATTTTTTCCTAATAAACTTTGAACATCTTCTCTTTTTTTAAATCTACTATAACTGTAGTTCTGTCTGGCGGCATATTTTTGAACTGAAAATGTAATCTTTTCTGGATTATGTTTAAAGCCTCTATGCTTTTCAAAATTTACCAATTTTGGTCCTTTTGGGGGAGATACCAATGCTTTGGCAAACTGTCTGTCTTGCTTAAATAATCTTATACCAAATGTTTCCATGTTTAATACTCGGGGATACGAACCCCCAACTGATTATCATCATGCCTGGAGAAAATAGACTGAAAACAGACTTAAGACAAAATTTCAAATCAGTATATCTTTTGAAATAATTTTGAAACAACGCTTTTTACAATGCGTTAACACTGAAAGATTATATAAACTTGTAAATTTTTGATAATGTATGTATTATAAATGATTAGCTATTCAAAATCAAAATTTTGACTTAAGTCTGTTCTCGGTTTATGTTCTCCAGGCCAGATTTCGTAGAAGTAGCTACAAGTTTTCCCTTATATCTACTTCTCTGCTTGAAGTTATCTGCATTCTTATTGTATGCCTTCTTAGGAACCTTAGATGCACTTCGCTGAGTTTATCATGCATCACTGTGAAAAGACGTATCAATTTTCCTTTTCTTGGAATCAGCATAATTATCCTTGCTCCTTAGGTGTTGGGTTTCTTTTGCATCTCTTGTTTGCATTCTCGGCACTAGTATGCAGTACCTCAAAATACTTTCCAAGGAACAGATCTGACCAAATATAGACAAGCATTGCATCTTAGACTCAGTTGCCTTATTCTTGAAAGTCATGTCCTGCAAATACAAGTTTCTTCTTGAACCCACAGCTGTTACGATAAATCTAAATGAAACATCTACTGAGTTAAAGAACTATACAAGAGTCTGTAGTGCCCCTGTCTTATCTTGATTATACAGAATCTAAGTAAGATGCGATCATAGGTTCATAAGAGATTTGTCTTAAAAACAACAATTAAAAACAATCTGGCACTCATATCTACTTTGCGAAACTCCTAATTACACGAAGCACTGTTCTTGTCACTTAATCTAAAACGAACCTTGCCATTAATAGCAAAACATTTACTGGACTGTGTTTTGCTATCTGTAATGCCCTCTTCAATATTACTATTGAGAATTGTCACATTACAAAACTTCGTTAAATGATCTGATGGCATGACATATCTTTCATCATCTTTTAAATTGCTTTGCAAGCACAGACCTTGCCTCGTACCTGCCATTCCTTGTCAACATTCATGAAGGCTTGTATGACCGATCCCCCCAACGAAAGGTGGCCTAATCTTTGAGGAGACTTTGCTACATTGAAAATGCTCTGATACATACTAATGCATACTGTTCTCGTTTATCAGCTTCTGAGGGAACTTTAAACTCTGAAGCTAACTTAGTTATGAAGTTCTTCCAAATGCCTTATTTGAAGCAATATTTGACTCTGTCTCATCACTTTTCTCATTACCATGTGATCTAGATTCATCTAAAGACTGATCATCATCCTCAACAAACTCGTAATCTCGGTCATCTTCCAAGTCTAGGACATCAGGACTGACAGACCTGATTTCCCTTTCAAATCTGTTGAAACGTCTGTTACACTCTTGTCTACCTGCACCCGCATTAACAGACTCACCTGGGGGTTATGACCTGAAGAGACAACCTCGGCTGAATTCTTCTGTCGAGTCATGAGCCTGATTCTGAATGCAAATGCTTGCTCAGACCAGTTCATAGAATTTCCATGTCTACTCGGGGGAGCGACCAGTATGAAAGGTATACGTATTTGGCTGTTTAGAGACGTCTTTGTGCAGAATTTAAGGGCACAAAGGCTGAACTTGGGTTCCATTGTCCGATCTGGGGCAAAGACAGGTCTAGGAACACCTTAGTTTGACCGTTCGAAGGTAGCGTCAAAACGCAATGAAATTAACGCCATTCGCGAGCTAGAGGAATGTGCTATCGATATTAACAATTGGATGAATGCAAACAAGCTTAAAATGAATTCATCAAAAACAGAATTCATCCTCTTTGGAAGCAAACGGCAACTAGAAAAATGTACAACAAAATCTATAAACATTAACGAAAATGAGATCGAATCTGTTAAATGTATACGATATTTAGGTGCTTTTCTGGACGAGAACTTAAATTTTAAAGATCATGTCAACAAAAAATGCCGCACAGCTATGTTTAATTACCAAAAAATCAAATGTATTCGAAAATATTTAACGACCGAAGCAACAGAAGTCTTAGTTTTATCTTTAGTTATATCCCATTTGGACTATTGCAATGTGATTCTGTATGGTATATCGCAAGGAGAAATCATCAAAATGCAAAGAATTCAAAATATGTGCGCAAAACTAGTTTTAAACCGCAAAAAATATGACAGTTCTAAGAAAGCCCTTTCTGATCTTCATTGGCTACCAATCAAATGCAGAATATCTTTTAAAATTTTAACATTCATGTACAATTGTTCTGTTGGCCAAGCACCGGAGTATTTAAAAGAACTGTTAACGAAAAAAACATCAAATGCCAATTTACGCTCTTCAAGAAATTCTGAAAGTCATTATAATGTTCCATTTAATAAGAGAAAAACCTTTAGTGACAGAAGTTTTAGTACCATCGGCCCCAAACTGTGGAATGAACTGCCAACCAGTATTCAAAACTCAGGATCAATTGACATTTTCAAAAACAAATTAAAAAATTACTTTTTCAGAGACTTCAATTCCTTGTTTTAATTCTTCGTATGTATGTAGTATTATGTGTAAAAAAAAAAGGACTTTATGAATATGTATAATTTATGTATATATGTAAATATCTTTTATTTTCTTAATGTACAACGCCATTGAATACGTTTTATGTAAAAATAGGCGTTTAATTAAATAAACAAGTTTCAAGTTTCAAGCGTAGGACATGTTACATCCCCCTTGTCGCTCGGAGACGACCAGGACAACAAAACTTTAATTTTACTCTCGTCTACCCCCGAATTCGATCTATCCCTCGTCTCAGACGATATGGGACTTTTAACCGGCTTGGTAGCTTTAGCTAAAGCCTAATCCACCATTTTATTGTATGCGGTCCACGGCTCCGGAATCCACGTTCTGCATATCTTACAAGTAAACGCCTATGTGCACAATTTGTGCCGAAAACAATCGGGATGATCGTCGAGGGCGTTCATATCTCTAGAACATTGTGCACATGTTTTGTTTGAAGTTTATTTACTAAAATATCGTTTGTTTTCTGTTTTTGAATTTCTCTATATTAACCACTGAATTTAGATCAGAAACAAAGATCTGTAATTTATATTATATTTTCAAAAGATCTATTATTCACTCAGAACTAAATCCATTTAATTGATTTGAAATTTTATACTGAAAGGAAAAAGAAACGCAAAGTAAACTTTTGAATTCAATTAAAACTATTATTTCGAATATGTTTCCAGTAATTTTATAACCCATTTTAATTCATTTTTAATCAAAAAGTTACCAAAATCTTGTAACTTTGACTGATGAATCACAAGTTAAGGAAACTGATATGTCGATACCCCCCAAAAAATAAAATAAAATTTTCATAATCTCCCTTTCACATTACTTCAAGCCTTGATTTTCCTGTGTATTGAGTTCACCAGAGCATTTATCTTTCTCATAGGGCTATTATTCAACCCTCCCGAGGGTAGTCTTAATGGTTGAGAGTAGCTGTAACATTTTAAAGGCAACAAATCCCCCCCCCCCCATAAATCCCACGAATTTTCGATTTAGGATAGAATTTACAAAAACCAGCTGGTTTGGTACTCGTAAATGTTTGTAAGATAGTCTCGACAAACACTGGCTACAGTTTCCCACTGTGAACATGCTATAAACATACCACATGCTACGCGAACTTACGTATGTGAGAGTAAAATCGACGTAAAGTTGCAAGGCTCGCGTACCGAACTAGAGAGTTTCTGTGAATTTTTGAGTGAAAAAAAATTAGTTTGATTGTCTGTTGTATAAATATCGGTTTCAATGATAATCCCTTGACGTTACCAGATAATGTGACGTTGTTACGCGCCAACGTCAACGTCATGGTTGGTTAGAAACCTTTTTAGTCACCCTCTGACAACTGAAAGCAACTTTGTTGGTTGAAAAGTTAAAAACAACCAACACAGCAACATGTTGTTGCCTTTTTAGTTACTTATGCAATTCAATTACTAGTGCCAATGTAACTTCCGTCAGCCATACCATGATTGCGAGAAATTTATACTGATTGCAAATATGCAAAAACGATGTCTATAACTCTAATGCATCGTTTGGTACCACAAAAAGTGATCACAAAATTGTCATCAGAATTGTCATAATTAAGTGCAAAGTAACTGAAATACGCATCTTACCAATTTTCGTAATTTTCGACCAAATAGTCAAAAAAAAAATTTGCAAATTATGCTCTCATGCGTTTCATTTTCCTTTCAGTATATTTGAAAGACATTATGGTGTTTATAAAAGTCAGTACATGTATATTAGTAAATTATTTTAAATTTTTAAATATTTCAAATCAGTAAGAACACTGATGCCCAGACCACCCAAGAAAAAATATATTCACCTCGTGCAAAGCCCTGGGACAATATGATTTTCCTTAGCTGAACGAATCCCCACATTTCCATTACGATCATGAAAATTTTACTTATACGTCTCAGTAGTCTCATTATTACGTCTAATTGCTGCTTCTCCGTTTATAATTCCATGAGTTCATACCCAAAAATGGTTCTCAATTCATGAAAGCTCTTAAGTTTTTTAAGTTATTGGGGTGTATTAACATGGATTTCTCACGTAGACATATTGCACTAAGCGCGCTACATTTAAAAATCACCAATCCCGATAAATAAAAATCCGATTCCGACCGAAATGGATGAAAAATAATTTAACTAAAGGTAATTGCCACTCAGAAATTATGTTCCAAAAAAACTTTTTAAAAAATTGTAAATTATATGACAATTTAATAACCAAATTTCATAATAAATTCAAAGTAATTTTCCTCTATATATATTCTAATCGGGATCGGTGTAATTTGGGGCATTTTTTAAAGAGACTACATGAACACTGAAATATATTTCGATATCGTACTTGTAAAAAAAAATGCTTTAATTAATTACTAGTCTACATGTAAGAAATAATTAAAATTCTAGACGTTCGATGTACCCTTCATTGCCTGGTTTTTGGTGGATGTCTTACTTCTGAATAATGTAAGTGAAAAAATAAATAAAAGTTTAGTGAAAATTTACCCTGAATAACCCAGGCTTCTACAAACGACACGTGCGTCCATGTCGTCCCAGTCGTCATCACACACAGTGCCCCATCTCCCGTTGATAAATAACTCAACCCGACCTTCGCTGCTTGAAGCTCCATTTACCAGTCTAATGGCATCTGTATATATATTTTAAAGGACATTTATACTCGACATTTTATGTGTAATTTAAAGTAGGACTATGTCATCGTACTAAAGTTTGATTATGTAAATTTTTATTACAAAAATGTGACCTTAATTTCTGCAGAAAACCATGTGATCTTAAAATGTCATATTGTATGACTGACATCATAAAACCATAATTAAATTCCCGTACTTTAACTGTGAATTCACTTATTCATTCTGGGGATTAATCTTTTGTTTTCTGGGTATGTTACTAAGTAGGATATGGAGATAACGATCAGTATTCAATATCAAAGTCAAAAAAACAATACAAAAGGAGCAAAGCAAACACGGACCACTGAAACATCAGAGGTGGGATCAGGAGCCATGGAGGAGTTAGTATCCCCTGCTGCTCATTGCTCGTGTGCTCATTGTCATGATCGTGAAATAACGGAAAAATCCGTCGTCAATTCAGTGTATAAATAATGGACTATCAATTGTTATGAAAAACGTCAGTCAGCATTTGACTCATTGATAAATTGATTTGCTGACAAGGTCATTGTATCGACCATAGAACGTACGAAATGATGACTTTAAGGGGGATGTACAAGCCATACTGGATCAAGTCTGGTGTAAATTAAGAAATATCAAGAATGCGCTTAATACTTTACCAAACTAGCCCAAAATTACTCAAAGTGCTAATGTACTCATTACCTACTGTTAGAGACCAAAATTAGTAAAGAATTAAGTTTATTTTGTTTTAATTAGGAGGAAATAATCATGTTAGAACTGCGCAGCTACAGCATTCGCGAGATGAAAAATGCATTGAAAATAATGTTAGTTCGATTCATTGGTAATATGGCTACAACCATTTGTTTCGCTTTTTTCTTGTCATTATCCATAATTCTTGAAAATTTGATTTTTCATATGAGGGTCTTCATGAGGCCATGTGTTTATTTCGTCCCCCATTCCTCTGTCACACAGAGTTCAAATAACATTGATTTTAGAATAAATGCGACCAAAACAACACCAAGACAAAAAATTACTAAGTAATAATCCTTAGGTTATACAACTTACTACTTTTATTTGTTGCATCACATCGTCTGATTAATGAAAAAAACGCAATTTTAACCCCACTCCAGCAAATCGGGAAAAATTGTTCTGTTTTAATTATCGCTCGAGTTTCCTCGTTAAATATCATTCCACAGAGCACGTGGTTGGCATGTGCATATACTGCTGTGGATAGATGCGTTTATTACCATGATTATATTTAATTTTTCATGGAACAAGTCTTGATAATTTGTTGATTTCTTTAAAACTCAAGAAAAAAGATAAAAAAAGATGTGTTTACGGCGGGTCTTTTTTTCTGTGGCGATAGAAGTTATTTTCAAATGGGACTCTCAAGGAGGATGCTTAATTTTTAATTTGAAAATGTTAAACAATATGTGGTGCATGAAAAACAAATTGTAATTACATGTATTACATTCGAAAAGTTGGTACATATGTCTATTTTGTTTAGCAGTTAGATAGAAAAAATTGTCAGTTATAGGATTTCCTTCAGGTACCTTAGATAAATAGCTAGATTGTTTGCAATGACCCACACATTGTATGGAGCAATGTTTGGACATAAAAACACATCATGTCCTATTATGTTGAAAAAGTTGCAAGCTCTCACTAACGTACGAAGTTTGATAAAATATATTGAGTTGTTTCTATGAAATACAGAAGATGAAAATGTTTGCAAAGAAGGTCCATTGCATATGCTATGTCTATCTTCGGGAAAAAAGAGTGAGAGGCTAGACCCCCCCCCCCCCCGAAAATCCTATGTTTGATTTTCAAAACAGTGCCAAACCTTCAGAAATTTTGCATTACTAGGTATGTGATGGAACATGCACTAGCTTTATATTGTTAAGACCACTTTTTATAAAAATATTTGGTTGCCCTCTCTCCCGTTCTACTGCCTATAAATAGCCCGACTCATTTTTTTGACATCCCATTACACGATATTTTTTTCTTTTTTTCCGTACAAATATGTTTAAATTTTAAGGAAATTTTTTCCTCACCTATAAATACGGACCCAATAATTTTTCCCCGAGTTGGGTGGACCACCAAACGTCATTTTAAAGATGGTCCAAAATATTTATTTATGTTGGTTGTTTTCTTCTTTACTCTGTAAAATTGTAATTTTGACAATATGGGCAAATAGAAAAAAAGTTTTTTTCAGTAAATCTCCACTCTGAATGATTTCATTCCTTTTCAAATGGTGCTCCGATGTGATGAACATTAATGTTTATTTGACACAATATACTAGTAGGTACTTAAACAAGGTCATTCATATTGATATGTGTCTAATATTCTTTGTGTTTCATTGGTAATAATTAAGATTTTGATAGATAAAATAAGTTATCTGTGGTAGACTTACAAACTCTTGATTTTTAACTTTGATGGTGCACATTTTTCCTTACCTGGAATCAAAGAGTTTAAGATTTTTTTTATATCAATACGTTCACTATTTTAACAACTGTTCGTTAATAATACTAATTACTTTAAGCCACACTATAACACATTTCCTTCTTTAAAAGTGTTTGATCTCAATTGAATATTATTTGAAACATTTTGTAACTGGAATTTCTCTTTTACATTTTAAGATTATGTACCTCAGTATTTCGAAGAGGTCTGGAAAACAAAATTCTCTGCTAAAAATAGACCACGTGCTGCTATCCATGAACTACTTTCATGGTTCTTTACACACATTTTGAAGACGACAGTACCCTGTTTTCAACTTGAAATTACCATGTAAAAGTGCAAAATTTAGACATTTTCTCAACAGATGATTGAAGAGAGAACATTAATGCATACTTTGCATATTTTTTGGATTTTTTAAGGCTCTGCTGAATTCTGTAGCTGCTCAGTTCTAAGTAGCATATCAAAAGCATTTTTCTGCAAAAGTATAGATTATATATGCACAACATACATTCAGCATATTTGTTGTATCTTTATCATAAGGACTTAAAATTTGATCAAAATACAATGTATTTTAGCCATTTGAAGAAATGTTTACATTTTGTGCTTACTGCACTAAAGGTGACCGGACATCCCCCTTAACCGAGATGTACTACACATTTTCCAATCAAATCCTCTCAAACCAGCCCCCCCCCCAACCTTAAAAAATTGACTCCATGAAAAAAATAAGTGATTTTTCAGTATCAAAATATGTTTATAAACCAAACAAATGAACAATTTTATGATATTCATTAAAAATTTTAATTTGATGTAATTTTGATACCCTCGTATATATATAATAATTGATAAAAGTTCAAAAAGAGGCTAAGGGTGAGTTTTAATAGTCTTTTACACAACTAATTAAAAAAATATAATGTTTCGGAAGGGAAACTAAGGAACTTAAAATGATTGATGAAAAGTAAACATTTAAAGTCGAATTTCCTTTTTTATGTAACGTTAAGACATATTCCTATCTAAATTCAGCGAATAAGTTATTCATATTATGAATTGACTTTTCTCGTCCCATCAAAACCCTGAAAATCAGAAAATAAATATTGAGAAATGAGTGTGCAAGTTACCAATATATAGTTTTATACTTACTACCCACATCAATATTACATTCCACTTCTACAGCACCAGTCTTACTGCAATCGGGGCTGATAGTTCCAAATTTACATCCAGCTAATGTTCTCTCCGATCCAGTACACTGGAACTCTTTTAAGTACTGTTCGCCAAATATATTCCCATCTTGTCCACGGTTTACCAATCTAGCATAACTTCAATTTTAGAAAAGTCCTTTTTATCAAATTTTTACTTATTTCGTTGGGTTTTTTTTCAAGATTTTTTCATTATACCATGACAAAATGACTATACCAATGTAGAATGAACAAAAAGCTAATGAATAATAATATCGATGGATTGATTGATTGATTGATTAATTGTATGTTGTTGAAAGTCCTTTTCGTTAATTTTTCCCTAATATGGAGACGCCACCGGTTGAGAGCTACAAATTCTGTCCTATACTCGCCACTTAGGGCCATTGAGCAGGGAGTGATCTTTTTCCTGCCAACACCTACTGCGACATCGGACCTCGGTTTATACGGTCTCGTTTGAATGACTGGTCTCCACTGGTCTCCACTTTCAACAGTGGGATTAGAACCCGCGACATATGGATCAACTCCTTACTGTGCGAGTCTATAGCAGACCTCAAAGCACTATGCCACGCGGGCGACAATAATGATCGAAGTAATGCTAGAGAATAATACATCTCTGGTTGTAAAATCCACCTGTGACGTCACTCTTGTTTAAGTGCTCCATTAATTTTTAGGAATCGAGAGTTGCAAATTTCATTGAAAACGCAATTTATGTTCTTATTCTCCTTCCCGTGCCTCAACTGAGGAAAGAACTTAGAAAATTTTATCAAATTCATTTTCAAATAAAGAAAATTAATGTGCCCATGCTGAGAACCGAACCCGGTACCCAAAACCTTTAAAGTCGGGTACTCATCTCCCTGAGCTATTGAAGCTGTTAAAATATTGCCGCTTAGACTAACGTCAGTACACTTTGCTCGGCTTCTTTCTATAGTATATATGAATCGAATACTACTTTTATGTTAAATATATAATTACATGTATTACAATGTATTCTAAAAATATGAACAAACATTAAATACAAGCATTTAGAAAGGCGGATTTTACGCGGGCTAATATACTCGTAGCACTCCATTCCTTAAAATTAATGGGCGTCGGCCCCTTCCGGGCCTCGGCTTCTTTAGTTTTAAGGAATGTAGCGCTACTCGTACATTAATCCTTACAGAATCCTGTTATTCGCGTATATAAAAACGCGAAAGAGCTTTCATCGTGGTCTTGTCATTATAGGATCATACGTTCTGTGAGAGAATATTCCTTTTAAATCAAAATACGCAATTTTGCAGGAACTAACTTCCATTTTGGACCTTTATCGAAATGGAAACAGATTCAAATTTTAAAACCACCCAATAATAGCAGTTAATGCAGCCATTTACCTGTAAGGAGTATACTCCAAAGAATATTATAAATCTAATTTTTTGGAAAACTGAGACTTTTTAAATATGATGAAAGACGTTTTTAACTGCAACTCAAGCACGTATATAGGTTTACCTTCTACATAAAAAGTGCATGTCTTTCTATCAAATAATAAATCCACTGTGGGACGTGGAGACCGGTCCTTCGGATGAGACCGTATTAACCGAGGTCCCGTGTCGCAGTAGGTGCTGGCACGAAAAAGATCCCTCACTGCTCATTGGCCCTAAGTGCCGAGTATAGGACAAAATTTGTAGCTCTCCACCGACAAGTGGTGGCCTCTCCATATGAGTGAAGCAAAGCATGAAAATATGAGCACACGATCCAAAAAATACAACATGCCTTTCAATCTTCAAAAATATATTTTTCATTATGTTCTTGCATATTTTGGATCAGAGGTTTTGCTCTATATGTGCTCTATATGAAATATTGAAAAGTATTGCTTTAACTTTAGGCCTTTCTTAGACAAATTTATATGATAAAGGGAAAGTGACGCATTTTGTGACGTCATGATGCATTGGCTAGAAGGAAAAGTACGTCATTTTCAATACATACATGGCCACAGACAGTTTAAGTGATAATTTTTTCATTTTCAATATTAACTGAACAGTTTTGATTTTTGCAGAAATACTCATCGCAAAAAAGGCCCTAGGTGGATCTTTTATTCAAGGTAAGTACATTTGTGAGTCCTTCATATATGATACTATTATTTCAATAAAATCCACTACAATACTTCTGAGGTTGAACACTGTAAATGATAAATGAAAAGATGATGGTAGGACAGGTACTAGACAAATGTAGACCGCTCTAGTTTTTTTTTTTAAATATACTCCAAAAACAAACAAAGAAATGATTATGATATGTTTTTGTTAGAATGAATAAGTATTTTTTTTTAAATCTTTGAAAAAGAGCATGAAATGGAGAGAGAGAAAGAGAGAGAGAGAGAAAGAAAGAAAGAGATTTCATGTACCTTGGGTAGCCAAGACTTCTGCAAATAACCTTTGCCTCCGCATCATCCCACCTGTCATTACAAAATCCAATCCAAATACCTTTGATAAGCACCTCTGGATTGACAACGGTGTAATTTGTAGAAGAATTTTGTTGTTCTAATCTGATTATTTCTAAAACAAAGTCTTGAAGTCAGAGATTTACTAATTTTCTCTCTCTCTCTCTCTCTCTCTCTCTCTCTCTCTCTCTCTCTCTCTCTCTCTCTCTCTCTCTCTCTCTCTCTCTCTCTCTCTCATCACTACAATGTATGTCTAACGGAGTTTTGAAGTCAGTGATTTACTAACATACTCTCTCTTTTTATCTCCTATCCCCTTCTTACCATTTGCTGTGTGGTAACACACGACTCCTGCGTGTCTACCACTGTTACAGACGTTGGATCCACTAATGGATCGTATACATTCGATCAAAGAATCTTCATTGCCATTACAGTTAATGTTGCTCACAGCCATTTGGCCCTTTGTTTCCCCAAACACAGAGGACGAAGCTGATAAAGCCGGGATTCCTCTACCAAAATAGAACCATAGCCTTAAAGAGCAATCACAGTTTGGAATTGATTAAAGAAATCAAAAAATATATATATCGTACATATCCCGTACTTGACGGGCATGGTATGGACGGAAGGTCGTGTGACCTCTCGACAGGTATGCTTACTTCTCCATGGCACGTGATCCCACCCCTGATGTTTTAAAGATCCGTGTTTTTTCTACTTTAATTTTTTATTGTTTTAAACGACCTTTGATCTTGCATGTTATCTTCATATTACATGTATAATATAAATTTTAAAAAAAATTCAATTGATAAATTTTTTAGCATTTGATATGTATGGCGTATAATGTTTATTACCCTGAATACCCTAGTCCTCTGCAAGTTACATAAGCCCATTTGCGTCCCATTGATTGTTGCACACACTTCGCCATTGTCCATTTATGAGAACCTCCACTCGGCCTTCATGTACAGAGCTACCATTCGCCATTCTTACTAATTCTTTTTTTTTTTTAAAAATAATAAATGATAATTGACCAAAAAAATTTTAAGCAAGAGCTAGTAGACCAAGTCCAACGAACAGGTATTACAGGGAGTCCTATTGTAGGTATTTGATCGCTTTGTTTAAGTCTTTGAAGAATACGAGTAATTTTATATATCTCAAAAAATGGTGATAAACTGAATAAAAGCGAACCATTTTCTGAATGGTAGCAAGAATACTGCAGTATTTATCTCATTAGATGTTGAAATATATGAACTTACCATTTTCTGAATGGTAGCAAACGACTCCTGCTGCCTCACCACTACAGCCGTTTGATCCAATCGTAGATTGTCGACACTTCAATAAGGAATCTTCCCTTCCATTACAATTTATACCACTCAACCATAATTCACCACCGCCTTGTCCAAACAGAGAAGATAGGACCGGGAGTCCTCTACAGAAAATATTAAATCAATATTTACCGTGTGTAATTTATGATAGTGATTTTTTTTTGACACATCTATTCTTTTTCATTGTTACTGTAGACATTTAAACAGATTGTGTCATTTCCAGCAAAACTTTATTACATCTTATAATATATTTTTCTTTTTATGTAGTTTTAATGACTATTTGATATTATTTGTTCATTAATCAAGTACATGTATAATGAATTTAGTCAATGTATAGTCATTATCATTTAGTCATAATTTAGTACAAATTCAAAATCGTCGAATTTAAGTATTATGACATTTTAGTGAAAAGGAGAATCTAAATTTTTAGGAAATTATGATTTACACGTGTATAACCTGAAATAATCTAAAATGAAAAAAAAACATCTGTACAAATTAGTCTATTCCAAATATAGCGTTTGAAACAATATACTATTTTAGCTATTATATGGAGACATTACCCTGAATAACCGAAACTTTTACAAGTGACATCAGCATTCATCTTGTCCCATCCTCTGTCACAAACATTCTGCCATTCACCATTTATCAAAACCTCGACCCTACCTTCGTCAGCAGAGCTACCATTAACTATTCTGACTGAATCTAAAAGAATTAAAAAAATAACGGAAAAAAAATATTTACGATGTATTAACATTAATTAGATATAAATGAATACATTGTTGACCTACCATTTCCTGTGTGGTAACAAACGACCCCAGCGTGTCCACCATTGATACAACTGTTAGTCGCAATAACTGACTGAATACATCTAAGTAGCGATGATTCACCTCCATAACAATTTCCTGCGGACAATATCCATATTGTTTCAGGTCCCTCTCCAAATACAGATGAGGAAACTGAGAGACCTCTGCAAGACAAGGGTCGTTGTGAAGGTGAATTTGATTCTAACAAATGTTCATAACATAACACATTCATAAAAAACAAATGATACAAAAATAAATAGCCATTTTAGACAACACTGTACATATGTACTTATCTCAAGATATCAACTAAGGAAAACAACAAAATAGGCAAATCTTGTTTGATATAATGCAAAATAACCTTTAAAGTGAATGTTTTGTTTCAAGAACAGTTTGTATTTTCCAAGCAAAAATGAAAAGCTGATTTTCATGAAAGGCTATAATTGTTTAAAAAATTTAGAGAGGTTACCCTGAATATCCAATACTTTTACAAGTCACCTCAGCACTATTTTTATCCCATCCTTTATCGCAAATACTCCGCCACTGTTCATTTATCAAAACTTCAACTCGACCCTCGTACTCAGAAGTACCATTAACAATTCTTACCGATTCTACAACCAAAACGTAAAATACAATTAACATCGATTATATTCACATGAAGATTTACATAAAAAAATTAAGAAATAAATCACAGAGAAATTTCTATTTTATGCTACGTTTACACTATGTTCCCGGCAGCCACGGCAGCCCCGGTTGCCCGAAACGTAGTGCGCCGTGAGATTTTGGTTATTTTCCCCTCTATATCCAAGTCTTGACAAGTTCTTTTGCGGTCTTCTACAGTCTTCTACGGAATCCGTGATGGGCCGTAGGAAGAAGTTGCCGTGGAGTGCCGGAGGCTCCACGGCGCACTACGGTTCTGCCACGTATGCCAGCACGTTCCCCCCAGGCCTCTTACGTTCTGATAGGTCCCCTCTCGTTTCTCGCGTTCTTATGAAGTTCTTATACGTTTCTCACGTTTTGTCAAGTGTTTCTACGTATGAAACATGGACGCCGGGAAACTATGGATCACGTTTGTACCAGAGAAGGTCTCCTAATTAACCAGAAACAATCATTGTATCATGACCCTTCAAAGATAAAACATCATGAATTCCCAAGACGAAGATTTTATTTTCGCGTGTTTGCTGGGTGCATACCTAAAATCACTTCGTCCAAATGAAGAGAACCAGCAGCAGTTACAGAGAAGGAAGGCAGGAGTGCAGCAACTAGGAATGAGACGAATAAGACGGATGAGAAGGCGGAGATCCAAACTTCTCTGCAGTGCCCGGCTTTTATATGCTTCCTCTCAGACCGCGTGCGCCGTGTCAGACCGTAGTAGAACGCAACGCACCGGGACCATAAACCGTAACATGCCGGGACGAACCGCGATTGAACGCGAGGAAACGGGTACCATACACCCTAGGTTGCCGTGAGGAATGTGATGAAACGTGGCAGAGCGTGATAAAACGGACAACAACCGTGAACTAGCCGTGACAGAACGCGAACGTCAGCAAAACGTCTCAAAACGTGAATGGACCGTGAGATGAATGGAAATATACATTCTCCCGTCCCACTACGGACTGCCTCCAAGTTCTGTTACGGTCTATTACGTGCTGTCGCGTTTTGTTGCGTTTATTCCGTTTTACTACGACCTACTAAGTTTCACATCTGCAACGTGGCCGCCGTGGCAAATTTTTTGACAGTTTAAAAATCTGTCACGGCATCCACGGCAATCGCGATGAGTTACGTTTGCCCATCCCGTTGCCCCAAGTTTTCTCACGCCCGTCCCGTTTTTTCCACGGTGGCCTGAAACGTGATTGCCGTGGCTGCCGGGAACATAGTGTAAACGTAGCATTAAATTCATTTTTAGCACAATACTCCTCATTAAATAATAAACAAATACTGCCTTTAGAGATGAACTGCTTATCTGTTTTTATAATAAAATTAATCAAGGAATAAAAAGTGGCAAAAAAAGTGTTAAAATATGAGCATAGCAAACTTAAGTAGGTTTACTGTAATAGCCAGGTTAACCCACCCTTTCCCGTTTGATAACAAACGACACCAGCGTTCCTCCCAGAAGTGCACACGTTGGACCCAATTATTGATTTTGTGCAGCGCAGCAGAGACTGTTCAAACCCGTAACAGTTAACGCTGTTAAACATCCATATCTGCGCAGGACTCTCTCCAAACACAGAAGACGCGACAGGAATACCGCTGAAATATGATCAAAATGATTAGTGACTTATGTCAAACTTTATCGAGAACGATTTCTTCGAAAATTTAATTAAAATCTTAATATACAACATAACATCGTAAATTCAAAAAACGTTAAAAGAATAATGTATTCTCTTAATTTTTTAATAAAAAATTTATCAACACAACATTGGATAACAATATAAGTGTACAAGGAGACCTTGAATATCCAAGAATTTTGCAAGTCACTTTTGCATCATTGTTTCCCCATCCTCTGTCGCATATACTTCGCCATTGACCATTCATCGAAACCTCCACACGACCCTCATGGTCAGTGCTACCATTCACTATCCTAACTAAATCTATAAATAACCTAATTTATACAAAAATCATAAAGCATTTAAAATATAGTGTTAAAATCCTTAATTAACAACCGTTATTTTGACGCACCTTTTCTTGTGTGGAAACAAACCACTCCAGCTGTATTACCATAACGACAAGTGCTTGATCCAATCACTGATTGTGTACACTCAAAGAGAGAGTTCTTATTGCCATTGCAATTTACATTGTCTAACCATGCCTGGCCACTGCCTTCACCAAACACAGAGGATAAAACGGGTAAACCTCTTTAAACAAAAAAAAAATATAGAGAGAAAGAGAAGGATGCGGATATAACGAACAATATTCAATCTCAAAGTCCAAAGTAAAACAATACAAAATAGGAGCAGAGCAAACACGGACCTCCTAAACATCACAGGTGGGATCAGGTGCCATGGCGGAGTGAGTATCCCCTGCTGACAGGTCACACCCGCCGTGTGCTCCTTGTCATGATCAGGAAATGACGGATAAATCCGTCGTCTATTCAGTGTATAAATAATGGACTAACAATGTGTATGAAAAGCGTCAGTCAGCATTTGACTCAATGTTAAATTGTATTTGCCGACAAGGTCATTGTATCGACCATAGAACTTACGAAATGACGACTTTAAATGAGACTGCTGATATTCTTGTTTCTTCAACTTGCTTGTCAATAATTTACCTCGTTTTAGAAATTGTTCATACGTAGAGCAAAGAATATCGTGAACTACAGTAAAAACAAATTTAAAAATAATATAAAAATAAAGAAAAAAATTTAAAACACCCTGCATATCCAAGACTTTTACATGTGACATCAACATCAGTTTTACTCCATCCGTTATCACACACACTTCCCCACTGGCCATTAATAAAGACTTCAACTCGACCCTCATCAACAGAGCTACCATTAACAATTCTAACTGAATCTGAAATTGAATTTCAAAAAAATCTTATGACAAAGTTTAGTATATCCAAAAACAAAGTTTACTTTAATGTCTTTACCCACCATTTCTCATGGGATAACATACAACTCCAACGACTCTTCCAGAATTGCACTCGTTGAATCCAGTTACTGAGTCTGCACACTGTAACAGAGAACCCTCGTTTCCATTGCAATTAATGCCGTCTAACCAAATGTGTTCATTACCGGGTCCAAAAACCGACGAATTCACTGCAACACCCCTTGAATCAATAAATAAAAATTAAAAAAATTACGAAACATGCAACGTGTTCGTGGCAATTCACCTGGTTTATAAGCATTATAATGCAGAATAAAAATCCTTTGTAATTTTTAAAAGAATGCAAAAATTAGAGTCAAGCAAGCGATCATCAATTGATATAAGTTCCTTTATGAAATCTAAACTAAAAAATTTTAAGCATTAAAAGATAGTTAGATGGATAGACGGAAGGGTGGATGGGTGGATTGGTGGATACATAGATAAAAGATAGACTGATAGAAATCTGAAAATAGAGTGACAAGCCTGAAGTTTTACTGGGGATTTTCATGTTTGTATATAATTATTTATATTTATACAGTTTATATATACATGTAACCATGAATGTCTTTCAAATATTAAAAAAACATGACAATAAATTACCCAGAAAACCCTAAGGAACGACAAGCGACTTTGGCGTCATCGTTATCCCATACTTGATCACAGATAGTGCCCCACTTCCCATTGATATACACCTCAATTAAGCCTTCATTTGTAGAATTTCCATTCGACAACCTGATATGGCCTGTCAAACAATGTAAAATTCAAAAATCGAGATAAGTTCCTAACATTCGTAAACTGATTAAAGTTCATATTATTTGTAAAATACATTCATGTACGATTTGGAAGAAAACAAACAACTCCGGCATCTTCTGAATGAGTACAGTTGGCTGTGGTTGAATGAGGACAGTCGAGAATATCAGTTTCAGCACCACTACATTGTAAATCTAAATGGATAGTTCCTGCTCCTTTTCCAAATACTGCAGTTGAAACTCCCACACCTTGTCTTGAAAAATATTGAGTTAAAATGTGTGTATTATTTATAACCCTGACCTTGAATATCTAACAATTAAAGTGATGTATTTCATCTTAAACAGACACACGAAAATAGACCAATTCTTTTTTTTAAATACTAGTATATATCGATCTGATCAAGAAGACATTCACCTATCTAATCCAAATAGTTGTTTACAGACCACATTGGCATCATTGGAATCCCAGCTGTCAACACACACTGTTCCCCAGACTCCATCCTCGTAGACCTCCACCCTTCCTTCCCCTGATGAACTTCCATTCACAAGTCGTAAACCTTAAAAGAAAGAAAACATTGTATAGCAATTGGCTCATTCGTATTGCTTAGCGCTTGGCAAAAGAAAGGAACAGGTCCTGTTTTATTGACTTCAGCAAGTCGTTTCCGGGGATGAACTCACAACCCTCTTGCTATGGAGCGAATTCGAACCCTCTACCGACTGAGCCTAATATTGAAGTGCTCACTCCACCATGGCACCTGATCCACCTCTAATATTCTGGAGGTCTGCGTTTGCTCTGCTACCATTTTGTATTGTTTAATGGACTTTTGAGCTTGAAAAATGTTCGTTATCTCCATATATTTCATTAAAAAAACAATCATCTCTTGAACGTTAATAAGGTTTAATTAATTACCAGAATGGAACAAATGACTCTTAAAATATCAGAAACTTTGTACGTTTGGTTAAATTATCAATCTGGTCTAATTTATATTTAAGAAGAACTTCTTTCTATAATGATCATATTTCTTGCAAATGAAAGCGAATAATTTTTTTGTTCGCTACATATGCGATTCATACGCATGGAAGAAACCCCTACCTAGTTTTCCAGCTCCTCCGGGATCAGTACACTGCTTTTGTTCGGTAATCTCTTTCTTAAAATTATCCAGCTGCATCTGATATCTAAGCATCTTAGTCTCAATCAAGTTAAAATGAGACGTTATTACTTTTCTTGTTGCTGTGTTAAACAGAAGCTCTAGTTCATCTGTATTAGTCAATGGCAAGTTGCCCACCGATTCATGTCCACCATGTAAGATCTGACTGTCCGCCTTCATCATGGTCAGTATCACTCCTAGAATAGTAGCTGTGTCCATTCTGGATAGAAGAGGAAATAAACACATTAATAAAAACCTGAACAATTAAGTTTTGAAAATAATGTTTCTTTTGTTTTCTACTAGAAATTCCATTTCATCCTTTGTTTCATGAATATGGCAACGAATAGGACATTGAATGCTTTTCAATCTCAAGCATCATTATTAAATCTTCAAATAAACAAATCTCAAAGATATGGAAAAAAACATGCTTTATTAAGTTAACATCTAAATAGTCGATGCAATACAGAATTAACAAATCAAAGTACAAAGAAAATTAAACCTGAAACAGAATTTGTCAAGTATCAAAAAAATGAATAGCCTAAATACGATAAAACTTCAACTTAATTATGTTTTACTTTACTTCACTGGAGAACCTATCCTACTTTGATATTATTAAGACCCAACAATAGTGCCGTGTTGCTTGCAATTGGTAGGTAATAAAATGTTAATTTGAAAGCTTATAAAGTGGCAGGAAACGTACGAAATTCATACGTAATATGTTCAAATATGTTACGGTGCCCGAAGTGTTCATTATTATTTTACTTGATGTCGTGCCTGGGTTGTTGGTTAGGGAAGTAATGTTTAACCAATAGATTTAGATCATTTTAAGTACTCTTAAAGACTCGTATAGAACTAAATCATTCTCCTTTTCAGACTTCTGCACGCAAAGAATCAGAAAATTTTATTTAAAGTCGGTTTTTGACAGACATAGTCAGGTTATCATTAAAACGGATGTGCAAGCCCTTGCCCACACCACTCTCCACTAAGATATATATTGTACTTTGACTGTGTGATAAGATGAATGTCCTGTAGCCCTTTTGACAAAACATCTTACGATGAATTTTTATCTTGAGAGAAATCGTATGATTATAAACATTTTCACTAAATTCTTAAGAGGTTCTTATGTATAAGATTTTCGTAGCTTTACGAGAGCTTTAATCCTCTTCTAAGTATTTTAAAGCCGATTTTATTGTTAAAAATATAACTTTAAAAAAATACCCGTTTAAATGAGCTTTGTTTTTCTTTTTCTTTTTTTTTGTTTGCTTGTTTGTTTGTTTTTTGGTTTTTTTTTTTTTTTGTATCACAATTATTGCCGAAAACGTGAATGAAAATACTACAGAATTATTTACAATGACAGAAGGTGAAAATACTCAAAAAGTAATTTCAAAAATAAATTATAAGTTCTAATAAACTCTACAATGTATTAATTTTGGTATTTTTTTTCCAGATGCCCACTAATGACTTAGATCATATATACTCGACAATACATTGAAGCAAAAGAATCATGTTTGCTTGCAATTGATTGATATCGATGCACAATCTGCATTTTTTAGTTTGTTTATTAAATACAGAAATATATATTTATAATAGTTATTACATAAAAAGAAAGAACAGTCACCTCTCTAATCCAAATGAATGTTTATAGGTCACATTGACACCATCAGACTCCAAACTAACCGTTCTCCAGAGTCCGTTTTTGTACTTATTATCTCTTCCTTCCCGTGATGAACTTCCATTTAAATATCGGACATCTTTAAGTAAATAAAAAAAGTTATAGTTCATCGTAGGCTTCGTCAAAACTTTGATATAGAGGCATATTCCAGTTTGCGTTTCTACTGGATAATAATTCTCTTTGAAACATTAATTTGCCTTGGTTTAGATTACTTATTCTAATCTTAGTTCCAATATGCCTGATTCTTTACACAAAATATATTTATGATACTTTGTAATTAAACAGTAATTGGTCTCCAAATGAGAGAATAAAATTCTCGAAAGGGACGTTTTAACAACCAAAACAACCATACCAACCTAGATTTCCAGTTTCCTCCTGAATAGCATTTTGCGTTTTCTTTATTTGCTTGGTTATATCTGTCTCTGTCTTTAACTTCTCCAGCTCTGTCTTATGTTTAAGCATCTGAGCTTCCATCATGTTTAAATGAGATGTTATAGCTTGTCTGGCTGCTGAGTTAATCAGAAACTCCAGTCCTTCTGTATTAATCATTGGACAATGATCCACTAGATCATTTCCACTGAGTATAGTTTGACTATCCACTGTCATCATGGATAGTATCAGTCCAAGTACATTTATGGGACCCATTTTTTATAGAAGGAACTAAAGGTACGTGTATATGGGCATTAAACCTTTAGAAATTTGTACTAAAATTATTTTATTATATACTAGAATGGTATATCACTCATAAAATATTGATTTTTATACTAATACATTCTCCAAAAACGATTTTGGAAAAATAAGAATCGTACAGCCAATCTTTAACTATTCATCAAAAGAAACACTTTTTTCTAGAGCAGTATGATTATTCTACCCACACTTTATGTAATCAAACAGTCCAAAGAATATCTTTTTTGGATATACAAACCTTATACTTAAAGTGTTTAAAAAGTAACAGTAATTAGTAATTTGTTGTTTCAGATTGTGTCTTAGTTGCGATATAAGGAAATACTTAAACTATAAATAGAATGTAAGGCTCATAAATTTAATTTAAATACTTTGCACTAGTATGAAAAAAAAATTAAAGTGTTAAAGAGGAAATTTAAAGAATTTCATATTTTTTGCTTAAATTGACAAAGAAAATAATATAATACATTTTGAAATTAGTTTTACATCAAATATTTATAATATTTCTTACAAAAACTATTATAATTTTTTTGGCGCGTAGAGTGGATTTCAGATTTACATTGTAAGTTGCATTAAAGAACATTACACACAGTTCAGGAATAAAGCATTGGATGCTTTCTCCACCGAGGAATCTGATCCAATCTCTGGAATTTCCATAAACAAATATTTATACCCTGCTTACATTTTGTATTGAAATTTTTATAAAATCGTAGTCTAAATCAGTATAGAAACAAAATGATAATTAATATGTATTCTTTTTTATATAGATCGTAATATATAATCGTTTTATTATTTTGCGAGTAGAATGCTTACTCCACCCCCGTCCCTATTTTCCCAAATTATTCATTACATTTATAAATTATAAACTAATTGCAAAGCTTAAGATTACCATGGAGCCTTAAAACCCTTTGAAAATGTTTATTAGAGAATTTACTTTTTCTTAATAAACATAAAAGAATTAACATTCCTTTTGGCACAAATGTGCATGCATTTTACATTTCTATAATATTATTGTTAAAATCCCATTCAAAGTATACAGTTGCTAAAAATAAAATAAAAATTACCTCAAAGAATTTTTTTTCACTTTTTTTGTGAACGTCAGTGATCTCCTTCTTAGACTTTTTAAAGGCAGGCTTAATGTATGAGGAAGTATGGGGAAGTAAGGAAACAAATTTTTATAAATTGTGCGTTGAGTCCTCTTGTAAAAGTTTACGGAAATCCACACCAAAGGTCCACATAGCATCTCTCTGATAACAAGAACAACGGCGGTAACAACATCACTATTTCCACTTGATGCCTTTGAAACTTCAAAAGGGGCCTGGTCACAGAATGCTTGCCGTTTTACTTACAATTTTATATTTCTTTTTTTATTTACAAAAAATAACTTCAGTTTAATGAATTGAACTTACAGATTCTTCAAATCTAAAAACAATGACATTCACGTCTTCCATTTTCGAGATGATCAAAATGTTAGCTAATTATAAGCTATCTCTATATTTAAAAAAATTCAAGATCAGAATAATATTTGGCATACATCACAAATGAAGTAATGCAGATGTTCTATAAATGGCATATGTTAAGCAATGATTCGCATCATGTTTGTGACGTCACGATATATAAACATTATGGCATTAATATGTAGATCACTTGTAACTAAAAATGAATGATTTAGTCATACTCGATCAACGAATGGCTGTAAAGTTTATCATCTATCTCACGCTATATTTTATAAGGTTAAATAAGAAGAAAGTTGTGAACTTAATATCAAAAAATTAATAAATTCTACGTTTCATGATCACATACGTCGATATTTTCTCTGTGATTATTTTTTAAATAATATACGTAAACAATCAATATTTCATTTAAATACTGTATTTCAATGTGTGTATTTTTAAATGTATGCATTTTGAAAGTAAAGATGTGCAAAACTTTGTATTTGACAGTTACATCGCCATTACGTTTTTACGAGGGTTGTTCGAAAAGTTTGTGGACAACTGCCATATCTTTTTATTTGACGTCAGATAATATCTAAATTTGGTAGAAATATTCAAAAAAAGAAATTCAAATGATTCGTATTAATTTCTTCAAAATATTAGGATTTCTTCAAAACTTATCCAGATTTTAAAAATGCAAAAATCGGGTCGCGGAGCAGGTCAAAATTTAGTAAGATACAGACAATACACTAAATAATGCCTGCAGTCTTTTTCTCTGTAAAATGGAACAAAAACGAAAAACAACCCAGAAATTCAAATTAAGAATTGTTACATCAATTCGTAAACCAAATTATGACTTTATATGTTGCTTTGTTGAAAAGAAATCAACTTCAGAAGATAGATATTCCTTATTGAAAACGCCAAAAATGATGACGTTTTAGAACGTCTCGGAGCAGCAGATAAAGATGCAATTTTGTGTTTTACTCAGGAAAAATCCTGAATAAACTCTATTATTGTTGGGGGAATCAAGAAAATATGTCACAAGCGAGTCGTGCATGTGTGTACAAATAGTAAAGATAGTATTTGAGTGGCAGAGACTCTATATCGGATGAGTACAATATGTGGAAAAAAACCGTTTAACTGTAAAAATCTGGCCAAAAATTTTAAAAGTTGGAACGTCAAGGAAAGACATAGGCCTTTCAAAGTTGCTTATCTGTGAAAGCAGAGTTAAGTAATTAAAGAAATTAAAACCTTAGCAAAGGAAATTATACAACGAGTGCAATTCTTAAAAAATAAATTTCAAGTATTAGAAAACGGATCTAATGAAAGGACATTGGATTATACTGTGTGAAATGTATAGGGATAGTATTTTTTAGAAATTTTTGACGCTGTTTTGCCGTTAAGTGTGCTCCGCAGTTACAAAACATGCTGATTTTAAAATGATGTAAATTGATTTTTATTAAATCGAATGGAATAAAACTTCCGAAATCAACAAAATATTTTTACATTTTATATTGTGCTTAGTTTAAATTTCTAGTGAGTAATATGACGAAAATTGACATCGTCCACGAACTTTTCGAACAACCCTCGTAGAAAAGATATACATGTAATAATGCAATCGACTGGTTTTATACAAGTTGTTTATTTACTAGATATAATTTTCTCAAGATTGAATGAGGATAAATCAACAATAATAGAAAATTAAGAGGAATGACTATAAAAATTCTGATTTTGTAATTTGTTTTTATATCTGACTATTTACTAGTAATTATTGTTCTCTGTTCAAAGAAATGTAACAAAATAAGAAACAAAAAATGAGACAAAAACAATTGTTCTATGATATATTAATCGTTCGTAATAAAAATATAAATCCGGAAAACAATATGAACTTTTAATATGAAAAGCAGAAAGCTTATCCCCCAGGAAGCAGTAAGTTGGGTGTAGATTCTTAGGAAGAGTACTGTATAGGGGAATAATTTCACGGGTTGTAATTTTCACGTTTTTCTCTTTTTTGAAACAATCACGATTTCTTGAATTCGCGGAATTGGTATATGATAAAAGTTTCCTCCCTTATCTATACCTATTGAAAACTTATTCACTGTTTCTTGAATTCACTGATCCATTAACACCGTGAATGTAGCGAATATTAACACCGCGAGTTATTTTCCCCCTATACAGTATGCATTTCCTGTCAAACCGTCAATCATTCTGTAAATCCTGTATATTTTATATACATATGAATTTTTTTTTAAAATATAGTTTGTTTTGAGCGATGATTTTTTTTTTCCCTTTGATGATGACATATTTTCAAAATTCTTATTTTTCTTACAAATATATCATGCATCAAGTAAAACATAAATTAGAAGATTATCAAAATCTATTAAATAGAAAAATACAATAAAAAATAATTGCAATGAGAAATTGAAATGATATTACAATTTGAAGAGAAGTAAATACATGCATGTAAAAAAAAAATACAGAATTTTTAAATATAACTTTTGAAAAGTGAATGCTTTATGAATAGCATATGCTTTTACTTGTTTATTAATTTATAAAAGTACAGGTTAAACAGGTTAGAAAACTCTTTATACTTTTCAAAGTTCAAATGTTTTAAAAATATGTTTCAGGAATATAGGTTCATGTTACATGTACATTAATATGAAACCTACAGGACTGGTATACAAGGTACATAACAGATATGAAGTAAAGCTTCAATTCTAATAAAATTCAATTTTAAATCGTTACTTCATAAGTCTCCAATGATTTGTTTACCAACTGCTTTAAATAAAAGATACCACCTTTAAGCATGAGGATGTCGTGTTTTGTGGGTACAAGGACATTTTTGTCCTTTAAAAAGTCTAAAACTGCGGACTGAACCCTTAAACATTCTGCAAATCCACCCACTAGATTTACTTCATGAACCTTCTCCTTATTGAAAACGTCCTTCAGATTTTGAAGTATCTGTTTAATAGGTTCATCGAAAAGACTGTCAAGCTCTTCAGCGTTTATAACCATTTCCTTGCCCATTCCTGGAGCATGGAGTTGTATCATCTGTGTTTCTGGTTTTCGTATAAAGTATTGGAATTGATTTATGAAATACTGGTTAATATCAGGATTCCTTGACTGTTCAAAATAGCTACTGTAATTTCTTCTTAGAAGATCTACCAATTTTCTGTTGACACTGTTGCCTCCTCCGGGGCCTGTATATTGGAAAACAAAATGGTCCAAATGTTTTCCCAAATTTGCTCTCGAATGTACAGTGATATCCATTGTTTCTTCTAAAAAAAATGTCAATTTAAGAATTATCTCAGTTACAAATTAAAACACATAAACTTTCATGTGAAGTTTTTCTTCACATGATATTTATGCAAATGAATATGCTCTTTAGGTAAAATTCATATGAATGTTATATGTCCAAATTGCCTGAGGTTTTCAAATAAATTTGAAGTTATCTTGTTTTCTGTCTCTTTCTTCTCTTTCTGAACTTCATGTAAATTTCATATAAATTTTGTATAAGCCACTTTTGCCTGTGTATATTTTTCTTTAGTAGTCTAGTAATTTTGTAGCTGCAGATCTGTAGCTATCCGAAAAAAATATATATTGATAGACCGGAGAGCAACAGTGCAACCCATTGAAAAAACTGTGTATTTATTGCGCACAAAAAAGTGTGCTCGGTTCTTGATTATTTCTTCCAAATTCTTACCTCAATTGCAAAAGAGGGAGGATTTAAAAAATTTTCTCTCTCCTTTATCAAGTACATTCGTAGATGACATCTGAACGAAGCATATTGGACCGAATTATCTTTGAAATCAAAATGGCAGTATATATAATAGAAATGTTCGATGATTACAATATCAGGGCCAGGAAGACTATTAAAAATAATTATGACGAATGTTTTGTTGTGGAAAGAGTAAAAGAATATGTTAGGAACACACGGTTAGCAGGGTTCTCCATCATTTGAGATTTTACTGTGTTGCAGAGTTTACGCGAAGCACTAATATTTCGCAGTATTTTCGCGAACAAATTCGCAACTGAATCACAATTCATAATAATTACAATAGATTACAAGCACACACTTATTTAAAAATCGCTAATTATATAATAGTGTTGTGTTTTGCGCGCACTATGCCTAAATAGTAGTCAGGGTTTGACAAATGGTGCACGAGCTGGAGGCGAGTGCACTATGTGTCAAACCCTGACTACTATTTAGGCATAGTGCAACCAAAACACAACACTATTGTTATTATTATGCTGACTGCTGTAACTGTATAAAAACGGCAATATTTTCTTCATTCCCAATGTTTCATCACATGTTACATTCGTCTATTCTATTATGACGTCACCTTATGCAACATGTACGTCATAATCTTTTTCTTTAATTTTGAACGTTCCATGCTTTAGGTATAATCTACAGATAGTTTTAGAGAATATTATTTGAGTGAAGGAAGGGGGATTGCAAGAAATAATTTTAGAACATTTATTTTGTTTATTTTTAATTTTAATCATAAAATATTTGAAAACTAAGTTTATATACATTATAGTACAATATTATAGATAACGGCGTAATCGGTAGCGCGTCGGACTTACAATCTCGGGGTGGTGAGTTCGCTCCCCGGTATGGGCGTTGTCGGATTTTCCTCAAAAATGGAAGCCGTGCTCTATTTCGCCATAGTATGCTTACGCTATATAAATCCTTAGACCACTATGCGAGAATAGTAGGGTATGGGTTATATAGAGACAAACTGACAGGAAGCATAATAATTCGTTACACAAATGATATGTTCGTACATACTGATAAAAGGAAAAAAACGTTCTGAAAAGCAGAGGAAATTCTGACCGATAGTCGAACTACTTAACATTTTTGAAAGTAGATTTGCCGAATTTATTTATCAGGTTTCTTGATCGAGTTACCGAATTACAAAAAAAGGAACTTCAGAACAGTAAAATATTTCATAGAGTTCCTTGAACATGCTGAAATTTCAAAATTTTCGGCAATTTATAAATTACATCAATTAAATGACTTCGGTACGATGTTATGTTTGACTTACAGTGCTTACAGATTTCTAGAGCCGTGGTTCTATAGGAAAGACATATTTAAATATTTTTCATAAATAATACAATGTATTTTATTGCAACTACCAATTAACCGGTACATTGAATTGTGAAGACAATTTATTTGTCTTAGTTTGTTCCGTCATGCGTAAAGTCCGGCGAGGGTCTAGGAGATTATTGATTGATTACTCAAGATGAAGCCCTAGTAATTAAGTATTGTAACTTTTTGAATTGAAAGACGGTAGAATTGTTTGATTTAAGTTTCAGTTTGAGAGAATTTGTGTGTTTAGATTTTCTAATTATCACAACTCTTACTGTGTCGGCAAAATTTTTACTATGTCGCATGCATGAAATTTGAATCGTTACTGTGTCGGAGAAAATTTTACTGTGTCGGGAGCAACACAGTAAAACAGCTCATGGAGAACCCTGCGGTTAGTAATATTTTTAGATTACAGTTTTAGGAACATGGAGAAATAAATCGAAAACCGAGCGCACTTTTTTGTGCGCAATAAATATACATTTTTTTAAATGGGTGGCACTGTAGCTATCCGGTCTATCAATATTTATTTTTTCGGATAGCTACGGATCCGCAGCTAGTAATTTTGAAACATTAAAAGCATGCATGTAAATCGAGAATTTTTCCTGGACTTATCGAATGACTTTGTCAAATAAATATTTCTGTTTAAAAAATCATTATTTATAGAAACTTACCGCCGATGTTAACTATCATATATTTATCTCCCTTGGTCAAATTGTCAAAAGCAGTGTTCAGTGTGACATCAGTGTGCTCAGCATATTCCATCTGACAGAAGAGTAAAACGGCTTGAGATTCCCGTATGGCGCTAACTTGCTCTTTTTTCAAAGATAGCTGCAATGTTAAGGTAGAGCTGATAATTCATAAACAATATAATATTTTTACTCTAATAGGACATTTGTCAAACACAAATGGATGTATAACTGATTTATGGAAGTTGGAATGCATCTTTTCATGATTTATATGGGTTTATTACATACTTAGTAATAAATACAGGATTTTTGCATATGCGATATGCCCGACGTCACAATAGCCGTATCAGCCCTGCAGCCCTGCAGCCCTGCATGGCTGATATGGATTTGCAGGGCTGATACGGATAAATATCACACTCCTAGTAAATTAAACCACAAAAACAGTACTTGTGATCATACATAATTTTTGGTGGGTTCATAATCTCTTAATTTTAAATGTTTGAAAATAAGGATAATGTAATTTAGAAATAGATTATTTTCAAATTACGGATCGAGTGCATTGAAATAGAAGTAGAAACAAACCCAAACCGTATGAGACAATAGACCATATACATGTATGAAAAAAGTCTATGCATGATTATTTACTTCTTTTCTTCTAAACTTAATGTGTGCTCTATTTTATTACTAAGTATGTAATAAACATAATAATACATACCCTTTTCCACATCACATCCTGTATCAGCCCGAGACACCAATATCAGCCAGAGGGCCGAAGGAAAAGGGTATGTATTATTCCCTATATTAACTCGAAATAAGGAGAAGATTTGGTAACCGATGAATCTGGCCCCTAAATATCTATTGGATGTAATAATCAGAACACTGTTAAAACTGCGATAGTTTATATTTAAGAACATGTATTGATGGTCGCCCGTGTGGCGCAGTGGTTAGCGCGTCTGCTCTAGAGTCGCGAAGTAAGGAGTCAATCCTTACGTCGCGGGTTCTAATCCCACTGTGGGACGTGGAGACCGGTCCTTCGGATGAGACCGTATAAACCGAGGCCCCGTGTCGCAGTAGGTGCTGGCACGAAAAAGATCCCTCACTACTCAAAGGCCCTAAGTGCCGAGCATAGGACAAAATTTGTAGCCCTCCACCGGCAAGTGGTGGCGTCTCCATATGAGTGAAAAATTCTCGAGAGGGACGTTAAACAACATATATTCAATCAATCAATCAATCATAAATTGATGCTTGTATTAAAATAAGCACTAATTTTGATTCGAAGCATACATGGAGGGCACAAAAGAGGGCAGAGGTAGTACTTCTACTCTCAGTCTTAAATACTATTGAAAATCCTTAAAATTTGAGATACTTTTCACTAAGGAAAACGTAGAACACAAGATTGCCTATCTGGAAGTTTTACACAAGATGCATCTGACACTAGAGTGTGAGACATGATTTGGTAGATAGGCAAGCTTATGCTCTATGTTTCCTGAAAAAAATGTGCTGTAAAGTTGATTAAAATTTGCTTAAAATGAGGAAATGCGGAAATTGACCTATTTTCTGACCTGACTTTCTGTGATCTCTGCGTATCTCGTAACTTAAAACCAATACTCATTTTGTGGCAGGGGTGATAAGTAATTTTCAGTTAAGAAACGATTGCATCATCCCAAAAGACATCCCAAGCTAGGGCCAAAAAAGGGGTTTTACCCTATCTTGTCCTTTGTATAAAATTCAATTATGTTTAATTATTATTTTTTTAATTTAATGTAATGTCCGAATATAAATGTGATCCTTTTATGCTTAATTAATGAAAAGGACAAATGTTCTTTTAAAATAACTGTTTTAAGAAAAGGCTTGAGTTGATGTATGTCTTATTATTTACATCACTTAGAGCATCCTGGAAAAATTCATCTCCTAAAGACCAAAATGTTGTCAAGGTAAAGACAAACATAAAGTTACTCAGCAGAACGTGTGCAAACTCTTCCCGAATATGTCTTATTGCTCGTTCTATCATATACGAGGCACATCGGCTTATGATGATTTCGGCACTAACATTCCTTCCTTTTGCGTCAGGTATTTGAATGCTTCTATCCATACTCTGTAAAAATTTGATAAGAAAAGAATTTAAAATTTGTGTATAGGTGTCCGACCGAAAAAAAAAATATTGGAAAAATGTAACTGGTTAAGTAGATATCGTAAAGGTAAAAGAGAAATTATTTCAACTGAAATTAAATGAGACTTTTACAGATTCTGCGTTGCACATTGTCATTGTGTACTGTATATCTTTTTTTTTGGCCTAACAAAATTTTGGGTTTCCCACAGCGAAACATGGACACTACCATTTGTTCTATAATTTTGAAGGGTGTCCATATCTTATCCACGCTTGCTTTTTATTTAGTGCCATTTTTTTTAAAAAAAACTAAATTATCTGTCAATTATTACTAGTCATATGGGAGGCAAAGGTCATCATTTTTGAGCTCATAGCCCACAGTACCTTTATTTTTTTACCTTTGTGCTTGCCTCATATATCAAAGTCATGAAGTTTTCGAAGTAAAAGACCTCTTCGGCTTCCTTTTGTCCTCGAAGGTGTGTGTACTCCTCTCTTGCTTTATGTCCAAATGAATGAATTTGCAGGTCTTTATCTAGCAGAAGAACAGTGGGGATTTTCTCAAGATGGCTATGTTTGTTACTAGTCAAACTAGGAGTGGTCTTTGTTGAATTCATTTCCGAGAATGCATTGTAGCAACCTCTAATGATAAAACGCCGCTTAATGATAGAAATAGCATTAAGCGTTGCAATTGCAACGCTTAATGCCAAAAATTATTGCATTAATAGCTGACATCATCAACCGCTAATGCTAAATCGCCGCTTAATGATAGAATTATATCATTAAGCGTCACAAATGCATTGCAACATCGACGCTTAATGAAACAAGCAAATATCGACATATTCGACACTTAATGATACACACTTGTGTATCATTAAGCGTTGCAGTTGCAACCCTTAATGATATAAAATTTAGAATTCGCTTGTAATATCTAAGAGAAACACACATCTTCCTTTCCTGAACAATGAGATATCATTTGTCAAAATATTTATATACGCCCTTGTTCTATATACAAATGTAAACGGTTATTATTGAAGTTTTCTGCATGTGTTTTCTATTTAGTCAAAGGAACATCTTTAACCCACGGGTGTTTAAGAGATAGCTGGAAGATAGAGATACAAACAAAGAGATAAATAAAATGATATTCAAATCCTTTAAAAGGACCATTTTTTAAAACTGAAAATACAGAGGTTAACAAGCAATTAAATTCCTTTTAAATTTATACAATGATTTGAATAGTCAACCTTAAATATATATATATATATATATATATGTTTTAGATTTGATACAACTTAACACATATCACTGTTAACGTTTCAGATATACGTATCGAGATTTTCACTATTGTGTGTTTCTCCAAATTCCAAAAAGAGAGTCATCAATATTGACAACTTATGTTTAAGGATATATAACAAAGAATACAAGTACATGTAATACATAGAATAATATATATTATATAATATTATTAGTATTATTTTTTTTTCGATATACATGCTATATAAGACTATGTTTACATCTGACTAATATTAAAATGATATAGATTTAAATGAATATAGTTCTTTTTTCGATACAAGAGAGACCCTCTCTATTAATACTAGTATTCATCAGAAGTATTTCGTTCACTGCGAATGGGTATTGAAAGGTCGCATTAAAGGTCCGACTATGTTTTACTTGCGTTGGTCAATACTTTAATGAGCTACAAAATATTCTCGTCTCATGCAACTACGGCCTGATTGGGAGAGGATCGTACATTTTGACAGTGGTTAGCGACGTTCCAAAGTTTTCACTTTAGCAAATCAAAGTTCCAAAGTTTTTACTTTGCTTCTCTACATAATTATATTAAACTATAGTAAACTATGAAGTTTTCTCTAGTATTTTTTTTTTTTGTTGGGGACATGTCTGCTACTAACATCAGCCATGAGTGAAAAAAAAACCACATCTAAATTTCAGACTTATATTAAGCAAAAACCACTAATAGGCGAGTATAAATGGTACATGTATACCGAAATAGATCATTCTTTACTGACAATTGCAGTGAAGACAGACTGAAATCTTTCTGGTTAGGAATAGAATTAAAAACTTTTGAATAATATAAGACATTATTGTTTCTAATTATTCCAAACATAAAGTACAAAACTTTGATATGCTTTGACTCTTCGTATTTAAGGCATATGGTATTCTTGGCGTTACATAATTAGATGTTAAATCGATTCCACATGGTCACAAGCTCATCTGATTCTATACATAAAAAGTAGCTCAAATACAAAGAAAAAAAGAAACACAGAAGTTTTTCTATGTGCTGTTTAGTTGGCAAAAATAAGCACGAGCTAGATTTTTATTGCAATGACATTTATTTAATTTTCATTTTTTATCGTTATAAAAAAAACAATACTTTGATTAGAAATAGTTACTTTAATACCATTGGGTACCACATGTAATTTAGATGATAAAAAGAAACCTAAGTAGCATATCACGCAAGTCTGTGTCAAACTTTTCAAAGTATTGAGGAAGGACTTCAAAAATGGAGAATAAAAAATCCCTAATCTTCCCCAAAACATTAAAGATATATTTAACTTAAGAGGGGTTCTTCTCTGGTTTCTTACTAGATAGAATATTCAAAGTATATTTGTTGATATGTCATATATTTAGATGTAAGAGGTTTAAAAGACCATATTTTTCTTTCTACATTATAATTATACAACTTGAAATAGAAATGGTAAACTGCGTTTGAAAACTAGCAGGGGCTATATTTTTGGCTGAATAGTGGCGTATGAAATATCTTCTTTTCTGCCTCTTAAAATTATTTTAGAACATTGAGTTTAGCTTTAATTTTTACGCAATCAAAGACTAGACGAAATTTTCAAATGTAAATTAAATTAATAATAAGGGACTAAAGTTTCAAAATTTACATGTATCAAATAAGTAAGATTTTTCACACATACTAGAACTATGTTTGCTTTTAAATGCTTCAAATCCAAGTACTGATTTGAGCCAAAAATCCGTAAATAGTGTTATTTTTGTAAATGATCAAAACTGTTAGTTTTTGTATCATTTTGTACCTTAATGTGCCAACTTTACTATATGTGAAAATTGGAAAAAATTAAATACATGTATAGGAAGTTTATAAAAATAACTAATAAATCCTAAAAATTTAGAGAAAATAGAGGATATTCGGATAAGCATATATCCATTTTACTTAAATTGTCAATTTGATAATATGATCTTATAGGCCATATATGGTGGTATCTTTTTGTGCAAAAATAAAACAAAATAATCTTTTGAAGTACAAGTAGGGATCGCATTATTGGAAACAGTAATTTTAGCTCTACTGGTCAGAGACTATAGAAGAGCTTTTCCGATAGTAATGCGTCCGTCCGTCTAGCTGTCCGTCTGTCTGGAAAAATTTTTTAAATGAAAGAGGCAATGACCTTGACCTGACCTTGCCTCTAATATAAAACAGTCAAATCAATCTATTCTAACTGATAGCATCACAAATACGTATTGTCCTCTTGATTCTGTGAACATTTCATTAATTTTCAAATACAAGAAATATGAGAAGAATCCTACCTAAACCAACATAAAATATTTATTAATGTAAATAACCCCTTCCCCACCCCATCCCGACGCTTACAAACATACTTTGTCTCATTACTTCGCCTTAATTGAAAACTTCCATTAAACTACAACGTAGTTTGATCGGCTTTTTGTTTTTTTGTGATGAGAAAGTCGGAGATGTTACATTGCACAACAAACTAAAATTTATAGGATAATTTCACGGCTGGTGTAAAAAAAATCAAAACACATCCTTAAAAAAATACTACAGTAAACTATTGTTTACTTTAGTTAACTATAGTACCAAAGTAAACATTTAGAACTTAAATTTACCATTTATAGTGAAAACTTTGGAACTTTGATTTGCTATAGTAAAAAATTTGAAACTTTGATTTACTACAGTGAAAACTTTGGAATTTAATTAACAATAGAAAAGACTTATTCTTAATATTTCATTACATTTCATGGTTAAGATTAAAAAAAAGGCTCCAACATTCTTTAGGAACAGGACCATTTTTCTGAAAAAAAAAATAATAATATACTAGAAATAAATACTAGTACATGTATTAATAGAAAGGGTCTCTCTTGTACCGAAAAAAAAAATATCCATTTAAATCTATTTTTTTTTAATATTAGTCAGATGTAAACTTAGTCTTATATATCTAAAGAAAAAATATATCTCTGTCGAGACTGTAGCTCTACTCGTCTGTACTTACCGTATATACTCGCCTATAAGTCGGTTTTTTGGGAATAATCTCTGGTCCAAAACTCTATGTCCGACTTATAGGCGAGCTATAAAATTAATGGTATTATATGAGGTCAGTCCTGTGATATATAAGCTTATTATATTCAACCGACTTATAGGCGGACCGACTTATAGGCGAGTATATACGGTACCTAAAATGAAAGAAGAAAAAAGTAGCAATTGGGGCTTCAAACTTTATAAAAGCAATCAATAGAATGACAGTCCTTAATTAAATCTATTTTTATGGCCAGATTGCAATAAAACTACAACTGTAGTAATAGCTTTCAATAAAATTTTACAGAATTTTCTATTTTAGTTATCATGGCAACATCAATCAACAAACTCAAAAACAAGAAACTGATGATAGTGTTTGCCAGTATAGTTTACTTGCATGCCAAATTATATCATAATCTGACTAAAACTGTAGGAGGAGTAACATTTTGAATGAATTTCACAGAAATTTCTATTTTAGTAACCAAAGCAACACCTTTGATCGAAATCAAAAAAATATATCTTTAAAGGCCGAGGTTTTCAACCGTACGGTTTTCCTCAGGTAAGTCTAGTGTGGGGAGGAGCTTAATCGAAGCGGCTGAGAAGCCCCGAGGGAACAACACTGACTTGTGTATACTACCTATATACACAGGATGTTACCTGAGGCCCTGAGTGTATTACCTGTATGCGTTTTCCTACGACTTTGTAAACCGAGACCGTTTTTTTTTTTCATGTTTAGATCATGAATTAAAATTCGAAATTAAATATTTTTTGCTGCAGACAGAATCCTTCTCAAAATTTTCTCTCTTTTAAAATAATTGATATTTTTAATAATTCGACATATATATTTTTATATACGGTGTGTTTCTTAATGAAGTGTTATAACGAAAATAAATTTAGGACCAAAATCTGTCGTTGTAATATTTGGCGACAAAAAGGGAAGTAATTCAAATTACACGTCGTCTACGCAAAACGAAAGAAGAAAGTGAATCATAAAACAGTCTCTCGGGAAACGATGTTTTGAGAATAAAATGTTGAAGTACAAATATTAATGTCTAAATAAATATCTTTTTAAGATAAACCCTACTTGATTTTTCCGTAACGTATGGTCGGTAGAAATGGTCAGGGCTTCGGACCGAGGTTGATTCCCATCTGCATCGTTTTTTTTCTTTTCTTTCGGGATTCATTATTAATTTCAAACATTAAATACAAAGCAAGATGTTATATTCCGAGTAATTTCCATTCTAAAACATTATACCGTAACTTCCTCACCATGTCTCGAAGAAAAGCGACACTTACAGATGTCTTATAAATATAAAATTCGCTTGACTCAT